CACTTGTACTGAGCGACGGACAGGACCGAAGGTTGCTATCCGTTTCCTAACTCTTTAAATTCACTCCGGCTGCCTCCATGTGCCAACTCCTATTTTCAGATCAAAGTACAACGTTCTAATCTCAGGTGTAGGGGTAGTTTTAGACTCTTGACATGTCACATTTCGGAAGGGTGACAACAGAAGGGTCAAGGAAAGTAAAAGGGTACCACTGAGAGTTGGATGCCGAGAACACGTTTCCAGACGCAAGGCTGGCATGGTCCTGAGTGCATGAAGAAAAGATGGTGTCCTCCCGGGACCTGAGCCCTGATGATCAACACTGCTGGGCACAAAGGGGGGCGTGCTCTGTAGCACGCCGGCGATGGCAGGAGAGGAGTCCAGTCATGCGCTGAGACTGCCCATGCAAAGCCGTGTGGCTCAGCAGAATAATGGCTCATGAGGCTGCCAGGAAAGAAAGGGCCACCAGTGGCCAGCGAGGGGACCGGCCAACTGGTGACCTACACACCAAGCTCCTGACATCATGAGGTCTGTCTCCACAGGGGAGGGAGGGAGGGCCCATTGTAGCAGCAGGGGCTGGCCAAGAGAAGCAGGCCCACGGCTCCCTTCAGTGTGGCGTGAATGAAAGCGGGGTGGGGCGGCCCAGAGAGTCTGAGGGGAGCCAACAGAACCGATGCACTTTGATGACAAATTTAGGCCGATCTGAACACCCCTGTCCACCCTCTGCTAGCTTTTCTCCAGGAGAGCTTACAACTCTTTCTGGAAAGGTGGGTCTGGGTGGCCCCACATGTGACAGAAGGCCCTTCCTACACACCTTCCTGTCCCGGAAAGGGGTGTCCTTGAGTTTATTTTTAAGATGGGAGGGCTGATGGACATCCTCCCCCTTTACCGCACCAAACAATGAGTGGCCCAGGCGCCGAGGCCAGGCTCCCTGACACTGCATTTTCCCAGGGGACATTTTCGTTGGGGATGAAGACCTCGCCTTGGGAGGAAGATGCAGCTCTATTAGGCTGGAAAAGAAGAAAGTGAATCAAGCAAGATAAGAATCCAACCCCACCCCCGAGTTTCTAAGAAGCCGATGAGCTGCAGGCAGGGGAGGTGACGGCTATATGAGCATGGGACAGACCCCTGAGTAATGCAGCACAGTCAGAGGGGCAGAATTTGATCGGACATTCTTCTCTCCCCCTCATGCAAGCATGTTTCTGTTATCTTCAACATTGGCCACAAGAAGGCCTCTTGCCTTTGAACACTTCAGTAGATCAAAACGTTTTGGGGTGACGATGAAAACCATTCTGCTTCCTCCTTTGGAGGTCAAAGGCAGTGAGAGCCAAGTGCAGTGTAACAATTTGTAGCACTGCGACCTAGTGCGTTACACACTAAACCACCAGTTTGCTCCAGGCGAAAGAGACGCGCTCTACTGTCCAGTTCCAGTCTCAGCAACCCACACGGGCAGTCCTTCCCGGCCTGACAGGGTTGCCATGAGTTGGAATCAACTCAGTGGCAGTGAGTTTGACATTAGAGAAGCCAACCAGGTTGTCACATTAAGAGCTGGGGGACGGTGGAAAAAATGTGTCCGGTGCCCATGGACAACTCAGGTTTTTCTGGAAGCAGCACCCGATGATTTGGTCCTTTGCTCACAGAGAAATGGCAGTGTGACGGCTGCCGGATAGAAACCAGTCTCTCAAGGGGCAGCAGGAAAACCTTTGGTAAAACACTGGGCCGCACACTTCCCACAAAGGGCTGTCCTAAGAACTGGAAACATGGGGAATCCAGGAGAGATGACCCTTCCGGGACAAGTGAGTGTCGCGATACCGGGAGGGTGGAGGGAAGGTGGGGTAGAAAGGGGCAACTGATTACAAGGATTTACATATAACATCCTCCCTGGGGGATGGACAACAGAAAATGGGTAAAAGATATCAGATAGTGTAAGATAGGACAAAATAAATTTATAAATTATCAAGGAGGGGGAAATGAGCTGATATCAAGGGCTCAAGTAGAAAGCAAGTGTTTTGAGAATGGTGAAGGCAACAAATGTACAAATGTGTTTGACACGATGGATGTATGGATTCTGATGAGTTGTATAAGTCCCCAATAAAATGATTTTGAAAAAAGAAAGGGCTGTCCTAAGAACCCAACGATGACTGTTTGGTGCTTCTGGCTGACGATTTCTTTCTCTAGGGCTGCCCCTATACAGTGACTGCCGACACCGAGGAGGGGCAAAGGATCATTTTGACTACCACTTGGGCCTGACCCAACTGGCACCGTCTTAGCCCCCATGCCTTTGCTCTCCCCAAAGCACCCCAAGAACCACACCGTTCACCAGCAGCCACGCTGTCGTGGGAGAGGCATCAGAAGGCATCTTCAGGGCCCATTATGCTCCATAACCGCTGGGTTGAGGGGTGACGGAGAAACCTCACCCAGCTTTTACCCCAGGAAAGGGCGGCACCTGGCAACCCCACAGCGATCTGACTGATAGGCCAGACTGTCAGAAGCAATAGTGCATCACTCGTCAGGTGAAGCAGTGGTCACAGTGTAACAGCAGCCGGCTCACAGGCAGCCAGCCCTTGCTCACCACCACCTGCCGGGAGACGTGGCATCCTGGGGGGCGGGTCATACCCCAGAAGGAAATGGAGGTGTATGTCTGAGGTCTGGTATGGGCGGGCCCTGGGCGCCACAGGAGGCAGTGCCCACAGCCCTTCGAGCCTGGTGGACCTCCCAAGGCATGGCAGGGTGGGAGATGCTTGTCCTCAAGTGCAAGCCCGGTGGGGGAGGGGGGCACAAAGGCGAAAGGTGCCCCACTAAGGCAGCTGGACAAGATGGGAGAAGGTCTTGGCTGATGTGGCTGCAAATCAATGGGGTCATCTTGAAATTAGGGGTAGGGGGGGTAACTAAAAGGGACTGCAATCTTTGTGCACTCGGTAACCTCACGAGACCCAGGAAGAAACAAACTTTATAATGAGCCTCGGTATGGGTGAAGTCTTATTGTAAGTAAAATAACATTTGAATGGACATTTCATTTGGAGCAACCTACAATTGGCTGGAAATGATCCATTCAACCTAGCGTTCCTGCTTGGGTTTGTGAACCGGGGTCTCGAGTTCTGGGTAAGCCAGTGGCTGATAACCACAGATGGCTTCCTGGCAGAGCCCAGAAAGACGCTCTCCCTAACCTGGTAGGGAAGATAGGGGCCCCAGGTCAGTTGGGCAAGCGATGGCAGTTTAAGTATAATTCTCAACCTAGGATCACAGAGACTAGATGCCACGTTGTCTCCATGCAACCTTCTCAGAAGCAGATTGCTTCCTCCCAAGAACCCATGTGCAGATGTTCACTCCTCCTGCTCCTACTGTCACAGCGCACTCTCCCCATGCTGACAGAAAGCAAACCACTCGGGCATACCTCACGAATGCAGGGGGCCCTCCCTTTTGGTCCATACACAGAAGCAGCCACGTGTGTGGACCAATGCTACCAGATGCAAACACTACTGCCACGGATACTTAAAGTGTGTGTGGGGATGTCCCCAGAACCCAGTGATCCCCCAATAAGGCTTGGAAGGACTTGTTCAGCCTCACCAGCAGTCTTAGTTCCTGCTCATCATTAGGAAGAAGGCTGGGAGCTGGGCTCCCATGCCCCAGGGGCTGCAGTGGAGCAGGATGCAGGCCGTTGGTCAGGGAGAGGAGGCGAGAGAGCATGGTACAGTGAGCAAATTCCAAATCCGGCAGCTGAAAGGGCTAGATGGCCTTGTCGTGAGATGGGTTTTTTTTCTCCCCCCTCCCCGACCTCCATTTTTAATGTTCTCCCTTCAAGTCCAAACTGCAGCAATAGCATCTGACAGCTCCAGCTTCAGCCTTGATACATCATCAGGAAGTCATTCCAAAAGCTCTAACTAGATAACTAATTTAATACACTTTGCTTCAAGGTTTATTCCTTGGCTGGCTTCCCAGCTACAAAGCATCTCTGGGCAATTATTATGCAGATGCCAGAAGCGGACTTTCAATGGCTGCTCTGATTTAACAGAAGCAAGGTTGGCATCGCCTGCATGTGAACAAGAGTACAAAAGTGTGCTCAAGAGTCAAAAGCATTTGTCTTCCTAAAACTGAAATACGGATGTGAAAGGGAGCGGACTAACTTGGGAATGTTCTCCTTTGGGCTTAAATCCAAACATCAGCTAGGAAATTGGATGTTAAACCCGCTCCTTCCCTACATTTGGCGTATTAGCAGACATTCACATGGCCCAAGGTGGGGAGTGGACAGGTTTCCAGGAAGCTTGTATGATGCCTTCGGAGATACCAGATCTCCGTGCTGCCCGGGGACACATGAGCAGTGTACACATTGGGGCCCTAGGAGATGAAAGGACTGCTGGTGGGGTGTCGGAGGCAACTCCGTACATCTGGGACTGCAGACCAACTGAGCAGAGGACCCCAAGGATAGAGGCCCTTGAAGAAAGGAGGCAAACACCTCGCCTGAGGATGATCCCAGGTCTGAGCTGCTCATAAGGCGATTCCGTCCCACTGAAACGACGCACTACGTTCATAGTTCTTTCCCGAACACCCCTGAGAATTCCAGGATCTACAAAGCTCAGTTCAAAGTATACTTCCTGACCGGTCTTCCCATCTTGGAGTAAGCAGAGAAGAAGCGCTCCAATCCCGGGTACTCAGACTCAATTCAGTACCGCCACCGTGACACCTGGCCAGAGGTGCAGCTCTGCTGGTGGAATGTGGACGCCATTACAAGATGGCGCCGGACCGCGCCCGCATTGCCAGGAGCTGAGCTGTAAACAAGCTTGTTGCGCATGCGCTGCCAGGAGCTGAGCTGTAAACAAGCTTGTTGCGCATGCGCTGCCAGCCGCTCACTGCGCATTATCGCGTTGCACCAATCCTGGTAGGACACGTCACCGAGCAGGGTATTTATACCCGGGGTTTTAGGAGCTTGGGGTCTTCCGCAGCTGACTTCAGGCTCAGAAGCAGCGTCAATAAACTTCGCAGATTGCATCTACCAGAAGGGTCCTGACCATTCTTGTCTCGGTCCGTGTTGCGCCGTGTCATCCGCGCGCGACAGTGGAAAGCATTGATTTATACTCGAAAATCGCTCTCTGAGAACCTGCACACATGCCACCCCCCTCCTGTCTGCTGGTGTGTGGACACAGAAGTCTCACAAGCATGCTCTTTGCGGTCCATTTCTGGGGACTTTGGTGCATCGTTCCAGCTCAGGGGAAAAGGGCAACCAAGGAGGAAGGCCTCCTGGGGTCCTACCAGGAAGAGGTCCAGAACAAAGCCATGATGCATAGAAGCTCAAGGAAAACCAGACTGTAGAGAGGAACCTTCCCTCAGAATCCCAGCCAGGGGGAAGTGTGTACAACAGGATTCTTAAGGAATTAAAGAGAAGAGACTGGTGAGACCGAGCAGAGGTCATCCCATCTCGGACCCCAGTGGGAGTCGCACAGAGAAACGTGGAGAGGAGCATCACGGCCAAGGACTTCCAGGGAGACAAAGGCCGCTGGTTCTTGGCGTGGGCCAGTCTGGACTAGAGGGCGTGAGCAGGGCCTGTTCTGCTCTCCTGGGCCAAGGCCTGGGGATGGACCTGGAGAAGCTCCCCAGCCCAGTGGGCTCCAACTCGGGAGGCTCCCGGCCAGAAAGCCGGCAGCGCTCAGCTCCCTGACTGCTCCCTTTCAGCCTTTCCAAGGACTTTGTGTAGGACAGAAACCCAGAACGCACCCAGCGCCCCCACCTTCAGGCGCGGGCCAGCACAAACAGTATTTACATAAGAACAACCAGCAAGGCTCTGAGGCCTGATGCCTTTCTCTTCCCACTTGGGTCCATCATCCCCTCTCAATCAGGCAGGAGGCCTAAATGAACAGATGGCCTGGCCCAGGGCCTCCCGGCCACCGGGCTGGCCCACAGAGTGAGCACGAAGCAGCGGCAGAGGGCCAGGGTATAGTCCCCCGGCGGGCAAATGCAGACTTTGAAAGTGCCCGAGAGGACGGGTGGTCGGGAAAGCTAGGGCCAGAGCTGCCCGTTTAGCCTGGAAGACGGAGGTTAGGTGCTCTGCGGAAAGGGAGCGGTTCCTGCCTTCAACTCACGTTGGGAGGCAACGCAGAGAGACGGAGGAAGGCTCGGGCCGAAAGGAAGGAGAGAGGAAGCCGAGTAGCCGTGGAGGCGCACACGCTGGAAAATGGGAGAACGTAGTGTCTGGTTTTCCTCAGCGAAGGGTCTTGGACCCTTGCGTTTTGATTTAGTATTTCAAGATGCATTCTTTTTCTTGCCATCATGGATTTGGACATACACGATTCCACTGGTGGATGTCAGGGTTGGTTACAAATCCCGCTGCAACTTCACTAGAGACATGCGCCCTCCTGCCCGGTCCCTAAAGCCGCCTGCCTGCTGCTGTGTTACGATGCAGATCAGTCACCACGTGGCTCAAAGGGAAAGATTAATACACTGTGAAGGCTGCATTACAATGACCCACGGACATTATTCAAAAGGGCATGGGGGGTGGGTGGAGGAAAATAAATTATCTCATATAAAATAATACAGGTGTCTGTCTGGGAAGGATCTCGGCCGCTGTCAGGGACAGCCCGTGGCCGGCCTGCTGCCAGCCACCTGCACCCTGCTGGTGAGCAGAGGTTGTCTGGGGGGCCTACCCAGCAGTGAGACAGTGCGAGGTTCCCTCTGGTGTTGGGTGGCAGCAACTAAATGAGTCGCGAGCTCTGGAGGAACTGGAGGAGGACTTGGTAGACAAACGTGTACTGGGCGATGGTCTGGATCATAAACATCCTTTGCTCCCTGAGGAGCCTCAGCATCATGGGCACTTCCACTTTCTGCAAGAGGAGAGAGAAGGCAGGTCAGTCCGTCGTCCCGACTCACAGCCTGGGTCCAGGTCCAGACAACGCAGAGGGCTCTGTACCTTGAGGTTTGATCAGAGTCCATTTCCAGCAACTGGAGCTTCGGCTGGCCCCTAGTGGGCCTTTGTCTACATCACACCTCCAACACTAGAAGTACCTTACTACGTCACCTAGAGGCGTCGATAATGAGATTCATGTTTGAAGAGCACTGCTGTGTGCTGGGGCACTACCACTACATGGAAGAGGCTGACACACATTTGCTAGGCAGATGCAGAGGCAGACTTTTTTAATGCTCATCAGAGGCTGCTCGGGGGCAATGGGGAGGGTACTGCCTACGTGTCTCTTTGTGAGCCGATGACATACGTTTGGAAATAATGTAGTGGTGATGTTATACAAGTGGTGAGTATAGTTAATGCCGCTGAATGTCACACTCGGAAATGGTTGAAATGGCACCCTTTCCGTCCTGTAACACCGAGCTGGCTCCTCTCCTGCACCCACATGGCTCCTTGCAGAGAGGCCAGATGCCGGCGTCCCGATAGCACAGGCTTCGGGAGCTGACCGCCCGCCAGCTGCTTCCTAGCGATGGGACTAGGGACACTACACTATCGACCCCTGCACGCGCGGGTGCTGTCTGCACAAGAGCGATCCCGTCGGGTGACTGGGAGGCTACTTGAGTTTACACCTATAAGGCTTGTAGAACAGTGCTGGCACTGAGCAAGCGGTAAATACCAGTTAGCTCGTTTGTTTGTTTCTGATTAGCTTTTGTTATTATATATGGGACGGGGATCCAAATAATTTGTGGGTAAATTCTATTATCTTTTCATTCCATTTTCCCACAAACTTTTTGAAGCTTCTCTCATATTATTCGTCTGATTTTTGGTCATCATTTCACCAGCCCCACCAGTGTCATGATTCTAGCACCAGAGCCTATGAGACTGAATGCCCCCCAACCTAAAAAATCCCCCAAACTGTATTCTCTGATATGGGGCAGTGTGGGGACCAGGCAAACGACTTCCCTGTTTCTCAATAAAAGGATTCCAATCACCTTAAATATTCATCCCCACAAGTTCTGCTGCCACTTGACCCCAAAACCTGAGGCAGGAGACATTTGCTCTAACTGGCTGGGAGTGATTTTCTCCTCTCCACTCCATGAAGAAGGGGAAGTCTGCCAGAAAATCAAAATGAAGACATCTGCTAGTTGGCCAGTACAAACCTGGCCTTTTGTAATTAGCTCATCTGGGGCTGAGAGAGAAATCCTTGGGGCCGGGAGAAAGCATGGCCGATCAGAAAAATCAGTGCTTTCGATGGGGAGGAGGCTGGGAGAGGATGTTACACTGTAACTGCTAACACACAGTGGGGCAGCGAGCCACTAGGCTTGTCACCACTGACCAGGAGACTGCCCCCTTCGGGCCCACCTCATAGCTACACCTCCTCTCCAGTATCTGTGATTCCGTGTCTGCGCTCAATTGGACCGTGTTAAAACCTAAAGGGGGCAACGTCTAGAAACAAAACAAAACAAAACAATGGAAAGCCACTTTGCTGGGAAAATAACTAACCAGGCCTGAAACTGTCAGTACAAAGTGGAGAGCCCCAGCCAAGGACCCACAGCAAGCATGGCCAACGGATAAAGCTGGAAGGGAAGGGAAGCGTGAGTCATCTTGCTATCTTTGAATATCAATGGGAACAGAAATTCTTTCAGGACTGACCAAGTTCCAGCAAAGAATGTTCTGGCATGCCACTGGGCATTGAGGAAATCCGCTCTGGAGACCGAGTGCCCTGCTAGCCAAGTCCCCCTCTCAGCACCATGCGACTCTGATGATCAGTGAGCCCCCGTGTCATCGCATCACGGAGGCTCAGCCTTCGGTGGTCTCCAAAGAGCTGGGAGCGGAACAACCTTTCATGTCAGGCAAGGCAGAGTGAAGAGCTTCTCCAGGGAAAACGGGGCTTGTAAAGGAAGGGCGGTGGAAGAGATGGGAACTGAGGAAAGAAGGGGAAGGTGGAGACCAGAAGGAGAGCTCTCTTGGAGGGGTGGCAATGAGGCGGCCTTCCTCCTGCCCTGCGGTCCAAAGGGCCCAGTGTGAACTCACATATGCCACTTCTCTGTGCACAGGCTGCACTTTGTCAAGCTCAAGGGCCCAGCGCTGAGGCTTGGAGGCCAGTTATTCCCTGTACTGGAGACCCCCGGGGTGCACACAGCTCCAGTGCAGCTACTAACACGAGGCTGGCAGTTAGAGTCATCTAGAGGTGCCTGAGAAGCAAGGCCTGGTGAGCCGCCTCTGAAGGCTCACACCCATGGAAGACCCCAGTGGAACACAGCTCTCCCCCACCACCCACAGGTCACCGAGAATCAAAGGTGACACCATGGCATCCCGTCTGGCTAGTGGGAACGGGGAACAGAGGCGTGTAGAGGCATAAAGGTGGGAACTCCCGGAAGATGCTGACGCTGCATTAGGTGGTTGACATGGATTCCACGGGGTGTCCTGCTTGGCAGTAAGTTTTTCTTTCTTTTTTTTTTACATTAGGCCATAGTTCATAGAACCGCACTTCTACTTTTTAGCAGTTCCCACGTCCCTAGGATAGCCTAAACGCTCTCAAAATTAATATTTGAAAGGCAGGGTGTTTGCAATCATTTGAACATGCTGAAACTTAGCACTGATTGTTTTGGGGAGGTTTCAATCAAATAGGCTTGGTGGCACCTATGTACCGGACGTTCCAAACCGTGGAGTAGACACACAGGCTGTGCCCTCCTCAAACGCGCACTCTGGTCGAGCCCATCATGTGAAGAACAACCAAACCACTGCAAAACCATCCTTGAATGTGCTGAACTGGAGAATCGCAAACCCCAACGAAAATCAAACAACGCTTGGCATTTGGACAACTTCTCGTCTGGGTGCCACGGCTTAGGAGGCACCACTAGACACTAGCCAAATCACTCGGTTATCATGGGGCATGTGTCTGGTTCCACTCCATGGCAGCCGTGGGGACGGAAGAGAAAACGTAGGCCAGAGTCCTTAGAACCAGTACCAGCCACCAGATGCTGCCGCAGCAGCTCGCCTCATGGCCAGCCCACGTGAGCCAAACAGGAGCTGTGCCCAGGCAGGTTCTCAGTGTCTGGTCTTTCTCTTGAGGTTCGTGAATGTCTCCTTTCCGGTGGTGGCAGGTGTTTAACCATTTGCACCACACAGCCTTGTATGATAACACCTGCCGTGCCCCAGGTAAAGAGAGTGCAGGGGAACTGCTCCTTAGCCTCTGCGGGCTGGCTGTGTCCTCTGCATGGAGGCCTCCCCCTGGTGTCTCTCCTAGCCTGACAGTAGTGCGGGCAGGCCGGGCACCCGGGCACCCGCTCGGCTGCTCTTCTCCCTGTGGAGCTGGGCTTGCAGGGGCTGCAAAGACGGGTGACGTTTGCCTACTCAGGTGTCTACCTGGCCTGCCGAACCACACCACTCCAGGTCTAGACGAGAACAAATTACCACGTTTAAAACGAAAACCTCCCTCAGAAGCACAGAAAGCATTCTCAAAGCATGCACAATCCGCCCCCCCCCCCCCCCCATCGGATTTAGGCCAAAACGCATCCTAGAGATCCAGCTACACTCTATTCATCCAAATAGCCCGGCATAGAAAATCATCTGCCATGCAGCCAGATGGTCTGCTAGCCACGGTGGGCTTCTGAAGCTAGCTGCTGACCAAGTTTGGGTTCTCCAAATGCTGCCTGCCTCACCCTCTTATTTCTTACTCTCATCTGGGCAGCTCCGGGAGCAGCCGGGGGCAAAGACAGGAAAGACTAAAGGTCAGAGTCAAACACGGAATCTTGGGTCTGGAAAACGGGCCAAGCTGGAGGGGCGTGGGGGGGAGGGGAGGAAGCCCTGGAAAAGAAAGGGCACGGGCAACGGTTTGTGGCATGTTCGGGAGGAGGCCAGAGTGACTTACTTCATTATGCTCCAGGCAGTAGATCATCAGTTCTGAGAGGATGACCACGCCCGTCCTGCCCACCCCCGCGCTGCAGTGGACGACGATGGGAGGGTGCCGGTTCTCCGGGCCTTCCAACATGCTGTTGGTATGGCGACGGACGGACTGGATCTCCTCCAGGTAGGCTGCAAGACAGAAGGCCAATCCTGTCACCCAAATCCTCCACGGCTTTGCAGAAGAGAGAGGGGAAGGAAAGCTGGTGCTGAGTACCCCCTCCCCCCACTTTTTTTTTTTAAGTGATAATAATTTACAGTTCTTACAAGACACTAATTATTTGGCTGGTACTCACTGCCTAGTTCTGGATCCAGAAAGGACCAGCTGGGAGTCAAGTAGTTCATGGGAGAATTTGTTCTTTAAATTAAATAGTTCTTTTAAAAAAATTAAATTCTGTTTTCCCCTCTGCAAATCCCCAAGTCCCTCAAGCAGATGATTCTAGACATTACTTACAGCAATTTCTACTATTAACAGCCTGGGACCAGAATGACATGGAGCCCCACTGAAACCCCTGCCTGTCAGAGCCAATTTCTAGTGCGAAGAGAGCATCCATCTGCCCGATTCCTCTCCCGCCCTGAGGAAGGAATGGCAACCGAGGCCTGGTGGCAGTTTTAGGTTTCAAAATAGACTGTGCAGGGTCTGCTCGTCAGCATGTGGCTACGACCAGGGCTTCACAGGGAGGAGCCCAGGGTGAGCCCGCAGCCAAAGGCAACATGAGTGTGGGGTGGAGGGGAGAGCACCGTGCCCCCTCCGTCTCGTTCAATAACCAGGCGGGGAGGGGAGGGTGTGCAATGTCTGCTCACTCACTCCAGGGTGACACAGAAGAAACATGACTGCAATACAAGTGCTGATACCAGGATCGTGAGCAAGGGGAAAGAATGTGTCTGCGATCCAAAGATTGCCCCCACGCTGGAGAGGGTCCATGACGCATTCGGATCTTTCCGACTGGTTTGGAGCGCTCTCAATATTTGGCAAACTTCACTGCAGGGCAGTGGGATCAATAAAACTGGAGGGGAAATGCTCCAACTGTTACAGAGAAAAGAGTGCTCTGAACTGTCCTAATAATTTAAAAGCATCTGCTCACATGTAATTACAAAGGACCCATACTTTCCATTGTAACGTTATGCAATTATAAAGTAATCGGAAGTAATTTGCCAAAACAAATGAGTAATCAATGTAGGATGAGCACAAACACAACAAATCAAGAGGGACGAAGAGTGGCCTGAGCTGGACGGAGACAGCAGTGCCTACTGGGCACCTCCTATATGACCTGAACCAACCGGTGTCTGGAATCCTCTTTGTGACTTTTATGCTAGGGGGGAAAGGTATTAGAGGACCAAGCATTCTGGGCTTCACAAAATCGCAATGGTTGACATTGTCCTAAATATAAGATGGAAAATGCTGGGGATGTTGGGCTATATAATCGATGTCACTTTCAAATGGGCTTTGATCAATCAAAGGCATATACAGTGGATTCTAGCAGAAGCATGCCTGTCAATGGTATTAATAAAGATCTTATAAGACAACTCACTAACGACTTCAGTCGGGTGGCAGGCAATTTAGCCTAGGTACTATTTTGCCCACCCCCAGTAGCCTAATTTACCCATGAACAAATATATTTTTAAAGTTTTTTTTGAAACTTAGAAGAAAATGACAGCCAGTGTTTCTTTTTCTTTTTTAACAATTAACTTTTCATTGTGATTTGAGAAAAGGATTCAAGAGCAGGTCATTTTTCTATTCAAGAATCCACACACATTTGTTTCATCCCATTGACTGCAATCCCCCACTTCTCTTTGCACGTTGTTCCTTCCTTTCCTGACCCTTCTGAACGCTGTCCGTGAGTAAACGCTGCCCTTTACATCTCAGATGGCTGAGTATTATGAAGTGGACCTTCCTGCCTAGCCTTATTGTTCTCCTTTCAGATCTGTTTGTTCTTGAGCTGGAAATCCAGCCGTGGGGATGAGTTCATTTCCAGATCTGAGTGGTGACTAAGGGCCGCTGTGTCAAGGGCTCCAGCGGTCTCTATCTGACCAGCCCACCTGGTCGTTTTTGTGCTTTTGAGGTTTGTTCCAAATGTTCCAAAACATTGTCCTAGTCTAAGGTTCTTTTTACTCTTTTGATGAAAACATTTGATGCACACGTGTGCCTGATTTTCAGGAGACCCCAGTCATCTATTTTGCCTTCTGCTATTTGTGTGGTTTCAGCTATGTGTAGCAGGGGCCCATATATTAAGGCTCCTAAGTGTGTCCCAGGTGGTCCTGGTGGCGTAGTGGGTACAAGTTGGACTGCTAACTGCAAGGTCAGCAGCTTGAAAACATCAGCCACTCTGTGGGAGAAAGATGAGGCTTTCTAACCCCCATAAAGTGTTACAGTCGGGTGGGGGGTAGGGGGTAAAGAGGGAGAAAGGAAGAACTGATCACAAGGTAGGATATATAACCCACCCCCGCCCCAGGGGGACGAATAATAGAATTGTGGGTGAAGGGAGAGAATGCACAGTGTAAGATAAGAAATAACAATAATAATATAAAATTGATCAAGGATTCATGAAGGTAGGAAGGAGGTGGGGGGTTGGGGGGGAGCTGATACCAAGGGCTCAAGTAGAAAGAAAATGTTTTGGAAATGGTGATGGCAACATATGTATAATTGTGCTTGATACACTTGAATTATGGATTGTTATAAGATCTGTAAGGGCCCCCAGTAAAATGATCTAATAAAAGAGAGTTAGTCTTGGGAACTCACCGGGGCAGTTCTACCCTGTCCTCCAGCATTGCTAGGAGCCAGAACTGACTTGATGGAAGTGAGTTTGGTTTGGAAGTCTGTCCCTACTTCTTCATGGACGATCTTTATGGCTCTATGTTTCACAGGTAGGTTTTTGATCCATTTTGAGATTTTGGGGGGTATGTCTTGAGAGTTGGGTTCTGCTTCACTTTTCTGCAAATGGATATCCAGTTTTGCCAGCACTATTTGTTAAAAGGACTTATCATTTCTCCATTTAGTGTGTTGGGATCCTTTGTCAAAGATCAGTCCACGGATGGATGGATTTAACTTTCTAGAAGGAAGTGCACAGGGGGTACTTCCTAAGTTCTCCATTGTATTCTGTGTCTTCAGTGTACCAGTTGGACAGCTGTACAGCAGGTTTGGAGATTGGGAGATAAGAGGTCTACTTTGTTTTTTAGTCGTATTTTCTTTATTTAGAGCCTCTTTCCCTTCAATATACACTAAGTGATTAGTTTTTCCATCTCTAAAAATGGTGTTGAAATCTGGATTCAGATCACAGTTTATCTGTGGATCACTTTGAGTAGTAAGGACATTTTCACAATGCTATGTCTCCCTATCCATGAGCATGGTATATACTTCCATTTATGTCAGTCTCTTTTGGTTTCCTGTAGTAGTGTTTTACAGTTTTCTCTTTATATTTACTCCTAAGCATTTTGTTTTTGAGGTGGCTATTGTAAATGGTATTGTTTTCCTGACATCCTTTTCAGAGCTCTCTGTTAGTATAAAGGAATCCAACTGATTTTTGTATGTTGATCTTGTACACGCCCCCTCACCCTGCCCGTCACTTTATTGATGTTTTAATAAGTTCCAACAGTTTTCTAGCCAAGTCTTTGGGGTTTTCTAAGAGAAGGATCACATCCATTTGTACAGTTTAACTTCCTTGCCTATTTAGATTCTTTATTTTTCCTCTCTTCAAATATACATCTGGTTAAGAATTCTAGCACAATTTTGATGACAATGGTGATAAGCAGCATCCTTCTCTGTTGATCATTTTGCACTTGGTCACCATGCCTGACACAATGACAGCTAATGACAAATCAGTTCAAATTGAAAGAAGCTTCAAATGTTTTACCAAAGCTACTAGTCAATCATCAAATCAATCTTTTATTATTCCCATTTTCTGCCTCTTAGAGAAAGTTTTAACAAATCAATTAGTGAAAAAAATCACCAGAAAGTGGGTGGAGCTGGGGTGGGGGTGAGCGGTGTCAGGAGGAATGATGTTCTGCAGAACATCACGTCTCCGTATTAATGTGTTGCTCTGCAAAACACTGGCTGTTTGAGCTCGGATAAATCACCAAACCTCTCTAGGGCCTGCCCTAAATTCTCTAACTCCTATCACCATTGCCACATTCTACTTCTAGGCTCCAACCACCACCACATTAATAAGAAATGAAATACTTCCAAGTATGCATTAGAATTTCCCTGTGGGAATGTATAAAATGGTACAGCTACATACTTAAAAACCTATTCTTTCTATCCTTCTTCCCCTTTCATTTCTTCAACCTACCTCTTTCTCCCTGACTCCGTTATAAGTAAACATAAAAATAAAATCAAGGGTTTTTTTCATTATCCAATACCTCCACCTGGATGACAGGCTGATGTAGACCATTTGGCCTCTGGCCCCCTGGAGATTCAACAGCACAGCAAGTATAAATCTGCAAAGAAGCCCAGGAGTCGTCGTCGTCCCCCCCCCCTCCCCCACCTTTTATCTCCCCTCATCTTGGTCCTTTGTTTTTATTTTGTTATTGTAAAAATGTAGCCAATACATGCCTACTCACCATGTTTAATTCATCAGTAACATAAGTCATGTTGTATAACCATTACCAATGTCCATTGCCCAGGGCTTCCTTCTAAGTTAGGTAAGCCAGGAATGTGGTCTTCCCACCAGCGGAGGGCCTAATCTCAGCCAGCTTGTAGGAAGCAGCATCCCTGGATGGTGCAAACAACTCATGCACTTGGCTGTCATCCCAAAGGCCGGAGGTGGGAGTTCACTCGGAAGTGCCTCAGAAGAAACACCTGGGGGAGATCTACTTCCCCAAATCATCCACTGAAAACCCCAGAGAGGACAGATCTACTCTGGCAAGCCTGGGGCTGCCAAGGTTGGAATCAACTCAATGAGGAGGCGCATGAGCAGGAGAGCTGCAGTCATCCGGAGAAAGCAGGATGATAGGGTCACATCTCACCCTGGATTATAAACACTAGCTTCTTTCCAATCAGACTGTGTTGCTGAGTGCCAGTGAGATCACTTTCGACTTGTAGCTATCCCGTGTGACAGAGCGGAGCTGCTCCAAGGGGATTTCTCGGCTGTCATCTTTACAGGAAGGAATCCTGGTGGTGCCATGGCTAAGGACTTGACTGCTAAAAGAATGGCCAGGGACAGTAGAAACCACCAGTGGTTCTGTGGGAGAAAACTATAAATCTCATGGCTAAGTAGTCCATTCTAACTGAGCGGCCCTCCAGGGCACAGTAGAACTATTCCTGTTAGTTTCCCAGACTGTAACTCTTTATGGAACTAGAAAGCCCTGTCCTCTGTGGGAGGGCAGATCTGACAGTCTTCTCCCTTTAAGCTTACAGTGAAGGGGACCCTTTGGGGCAGTTCAACTCTGTCTTACAGGGGAACACAACAACAATCTTTATAGGAGTCGATTGCCAAGTCACTCTAACAAATAGCCGGAAGGGGGTTTGAACTGCTAACCTTTCAATTAGCAGCTGAGTGTTATCCCACCAAAGTGTGAACACCTTTAAAACCAAGACCGTGGGCCCATTTTCCTTTCTGTGATCCCAGAGCAAGATCTAGTGAGTACACACTGAATATTCAGCTTTCAGCTGCATTTACTCCGTTGGAGCTGGATGAACCTATTTCCAAAATTACTGTAGCCAAAAAAGAACAAAACAAAGCATCAATGGATTAGTCTTCTGAGCACATTCGTTTCAAGAGCCATAAATTGACTTCACTGAATTTTGGTATATCTTCCTGTGGGTATGAGAAAGTCCTGCGATGTATGGTGGTAGGAAAATCCAGGGCTTGCTTGTGAAATGCAACCCTCTGTGGGAAATCTAAAATGAGCTCTTTATGACCGAGTAGTCAAAAGTCTAAACCAAGGTAGAACCAATCAGCTTAACAGTTTTCGCTTAGTTGCTTACAAGGTCAACAGCATATAATAAATTACACTGTACATTCTCCTGTCTAGTCTGCGAAGTCCTCAAGGGCATAGGTGTCAAAATCACAATACTTCTGCTACCTAAGAGAAACCAATCTCGGGCTTTTCATTGCACCGCCAACTAATACACCTTTGATGAGGTTGGTAAAGCCAACAGAACAAGAAGGCAAAACTTACACAAGAATCCTTGGACGTCCTCTGGGCAGCCATGATCTGGCCAGTCGGTATACTGTAAATGCCACACTGTCCTTTCCTGCCCAGACAAAAGGTGCTTGACCTTCAAGCCTGTGGTTGCATAGCAGCCTGAATCTGTCCGGAACTTTGTGGTGACCTTGAACTTGCCATAGGTGGCTGAGCTGTGCTTGGAACCCAGCTTGGGCCAGTATCGGTGGCTCTTGGTTCGCCCCCCCTCCTGAATCACAAACAAAAGCAAAATTGGAAATGAGGCCGGGGAAGATCTCTTCCTCCGATCTAAGAACAAAGGAAAGGCAAAGTGCGTCTAGGTTACTAACTCAGGAGCGTTGTGTGGTGCCTGCCACACAGCGCACTGGTTACACCTGCAGAGACGTTTTGCCATGCTGGTTGCAGCAGCAGCAGCAGCAGCAGCAGCAGCGGAGTTTTAAAAATGCACAGTGGGGCTGTGGTTGAATATTAAAGAGAAGAGCTAGGTACAAACCCCAGCTTCTGGAACAAGCTCAGGCAATAGAGAGTTCAGCATAGAGGGAGCAGTGTGGGTAGTGAAGGGGGAGGTGGGAGGAGAGGGGGTCAGAGAGGCCTCTCGATCCATGGTGAGGGACTGGGATGTTGCGCTGTGTACACCTGGAAGCCATTCAAAGGTTTTCAACCGGGAAGTAGCTGTTGCAAGCCATGGTGCTCCTTTTCCTACAGGCAGAGTCGAGCGACCCCAAAAGTTTCAGACACAGAGTGGAGCAGGCAGCACGAGGGCCCAGATTGCAGGTGTGTTAGCCCAGGGCTCCTTCCTTTATGCCAGAGCCCACGAGGCTGTCACTGTCAGCGAGGGTCTGCTCGCTTTCCAGTCTGACCCTCTGCTGCAGCGCCGTCTGCCACCAAAGCGGACAACAGCTGGCTACCCTGCTGTGCACGCCTCCTTCGTGATCATCGTCTTTTCAGAGCGGATGTGTCCCCCACCAGTTAGAAATTGGGGTTTACGTTTTCTACGGTCCTGAAATCTCTGGATTGGGGCTGTAAGAGAGGAGGGAATGTGGCTAAGAGTCGGGGCGCGGGGGCGCACAGGGGGAGTGCCGATCACGGAGCTGAAGGGGTGGGGCAAGCACAGGGCTGGCGGTGGGCCTGCTTGTCATTATTGAGAGGAGAGCTCAAGGGTGGCACCAGGACGGCTCCTTCCCTGCCTGTGACCTTGACCATTTTCTCCAGGGCACCGAACACTTTGTGCTCTTTCTGCTGTCTCTCCCATGGCAGTGTGAGCTCCACTGGGGCGAAGCCCGTGCCTCTGAGGGCACCCAGATGGGATGCTCTGTTCATCCCTCAGCAAGGATTTCCTGAGGCTGCGAGTCCACTTTAGGGACCTCAGGGACAATTCCCCTTAATGGGAAGGGCATCCCAGAGAAGTATAACTCGCTTTAGAGAGGGCCACGTCCCATTTTAATTGCCCAGTGAGCTGTTCTGGAAGGCAGCTGCTTAGAATAGTCAATGAAGAGACTTTGACTTTTTTTTCTAGTTCTTTCTGTCCTCCACTACCTCTTAAGATAGTTGAGAAAGGAGCAGATTATTTGGTAAAACAAAGCAAGCTAGCTCTTAAAAGACTTCAAAATATAGGTTGGCATCTCATCAAAGGCTAATTTTTTTTGGTGTGGTTAAAAAAAAAAAGGGTTGAGAATGTGATGAGAAGAAACATAAAACGTCTTCCCCAAAGACAGCAGGCTCAAAGCTGACGGCTGGACGGCTGGTGGTGTGTGCCGGTTTTTTATAGCATTATGCAGAGTTCTCCAGTTACAATAGGAAGGCTGTGTTTGGCTTGGCAAAGGAAGAAAACGATTCCTCCCTCTCCCTAAGAACAGAGACGTCGACAGGAACAGCAGCCTCTGGTCTTCCAGCTGATAAGCGTGCTGGCATGTGGGCTGGCTGAGCCAGGGCGGGGAATACGTCTGTGTGCGCAGAGCCGTCTAGGGCTCTCAAAAGCCATCAAGAGACTGCTTGTCTGGCACAGTAAGAGTCAGATGGCTGAAAGGGAGTTTTTAAATTTTCTAAAATTTCAGCTTATGGCAATCCAAGGAAAAGAGTTAAAAACCAGGAGAAAATAGGTCATGTGACAATAAATGACCTCTGGGTGTGTGTGTGTGGGTGGGTGGGGGGTGGAGCCCAAATCTCTGTGGAAGTGAGAAGACGGTGTGCCAAAGAGAACGGGTCTACAGAGAAACAGCTCTCTGCAGAGGGAGGGTCGGGCGGGGAGTCACCGCCGCGAAGCTGGTCTTCGGACCACCCTTCCCCTGGGAGAAGGCTGGTTGGTGAGGACCACTGGCTTACCTCCTCTGCAGTGACTATGGCGATCACATTCGCCCCCTGCTCCCACACCATCTGCCAGAAGTCATGGCACGTATGTGGCAGAGGCCCCTGAGTGGCGATGTAGTGCCATTCTGCCCCACCAACCACCACCTGGAGAAGAAAGAAAGTATCGGTGAGCAAAGCCTGTCCGGGCAGCTGGCTGAGCAGTGACCTGAGAGGACGGGGTAGAACTGTCCTTCTGAGTTTTGAAGAATTTTAAATGTTAATCTTTATGGGAGCATACAGCCTTATCTTTCTCCCCAGAAATGGCTGACAGGTTCAAACTGCTGACGTTACCATTAGCAGCCCCGTGTTTAACCCACTACACCATGAGGGCTCCCTTTTAATCCCCTTTAAAATCTTGGATATTGTTTTGGGGGTAAAATGCAATTAACAAAAACTCTAAGACCATGGGTGGCTACTAAACCAGTCTCAAATCAAAGCACTTCTGCTACCCAAGCCTATTGAAACAGCTCCCTGATGTTGTGTGTGTGTCGTCTGTGACCGAGTGACAATGTACAAGCCAGTGCACCTTAAAAACACCTCTGAGCGGTCTTCAACGAGTTCGTGAAAAATGTGTATTATGAAAAAAATATGCCTTGATTTCAAAACGTGGGGACACTACAATTAACTCTAAACTACTAGCTTGTTACAGCATATCTAAATAGGACCTAGTTGAGGCCCTAAGACTAATAAAGCCTCAGTTTGAAAAGTGCCCTAACAGAGCAATATGAATTCTGTTAAAATTAAAGCAAGAATAAACATCAAAACATGGGTAGAAAAATAACTGATGCTTTCAGAAAAGTCTATGAGGGCAATGCCCCAAAGCAATCAGCACTTTGCAAACAGATAGCTTGTTTAGAAAAGGAGTGGAACGATATTGAAGACAAAGCCCACAGTGGCAGACTATCCATACCCATTTATGAGGAAACACTTGTGTCCGTGGCCTGACTAAACAGGGTCTGTGATTAATAGCAGAACCAATAGCCAGCACCCTTGACATCTCCATTGGTTCAGCTTATACAATTCTGACTGAAAAATTAAAGTGAAGCAAACCTTTTGTTCGATAGGTGCCAAAACTGTTGTGCTCAGATTAGCTACAGAGAACAGTGCTTTCGGTGGTAATTTTAAACAAGTGGAATCAAGATCCGGAAGCTTTTTTTCTTTCTTTGAGAATTGAGGGAAAAAAAGAAATGGCTTTCCCAGAGCGATCCTGAAGACAGCACACCCTCCAAGCAATGGCTAGGCAGAGGTGGAAGAGGTGCAATCAAGGCAAAAGCAGATCTGTCAAAACCAAAGGTCAGGGCGATAGCTTTGGGGATGCTCCAGGCATCTTGCTAGCTGACTTTCCGGAGGGCCAAGGAATGGTAAGAGTTGCTTATCGTGAAAGTGCTTTGAAAATGTTAGCCAAAGCTTTCGCAGAAAAATGCCCAGGATAGCTTCACCAGAGTCCTTCTCTACCAGGACAGTGTCCCTGCTCACTCCTTTAATCAAACAAGAGCGGTTTTGAAAGAGTTTTGAATGGGAAATCAAATCAAACATTATCATTCTGATTTGCCTTCTACTGACTTTTTTATCTCTTCCCCAATCTTAAAAAATATTTAAGGGGCACACATTTCCCCTCAGGTAATACAAAAAAAGCTGCATTGACATGATTAAACTCCAGGAATCTCAGTTCTTTAGCATGATAAATGGCTGGTATCACCACCAACAAAAGTGTCTTGACCTTGTTGGGACTTATGTGAGATTTGAAGTTTTCATTTAAAATTTTTTATCTTTTAATTCCATTTTCCATGAACTTTTTGAAGGTCCCTTATATACACACATCTGTAAGTATGTGTTCTTACTAGGAGCCTTCAAAAAATTTGTGGAAAGATTCCATTTTGTTTTAATTCAATCTCAAACAAACTTTTTGAAACTCCCTCATATGTATCTATGTGTGTATATACACAGATGCATACGTACATACCAACACAGTCTATTTATGTGTGTCTACATTTATCCGCATACAAAGATGTACATGTGCACACAAAATATCACATGAATGTGTGTACATATAAACTAACAGGATTTACTTGTGGCAGAAATAATAACTATGTTTACGATCTGCAGTGTACTCTGGTGCTTTCCATTCTAGTCTATTTAATTTAAAATAAAAAAGCAAAACACCTAGTTATAACCACTAAATAGCGTTCATCCCACCAATGTGCTGTGACTCACAGTTTGCAAAGCAACTTCCCCATGGCATCCTTGTCGATAATAAACACATCTCCCATGGAGTAACGCGCCTTTTGAGATACCTCTTCCACCGCTGGCCTGATCAGATGCATGGGACAAAGCTCCCTGTCACCGTAGCTCTGCAGAGCAGGCATGAGTGCATCACGAATGCTCCGATGTCAAGAGCACAGTATTTTATGGATCATCTCACCTTGTACACTACTGCAATGCCCAGTCTCACTTACTTCCTGACCTGTGAAGTCAAAAAACCTCACAGTGAAGCTCACTGTCCTTGGGTGGATTTTGATTGACAGCAAGATAGGGTGGGAATGTCTTTGTGGATTCTGAGACAAGCATTCTTTCAGGGAGTCGACAGCCTTGTCTTCCCCTGAGGAATGGCAGGGTTTTTACCTGTGGAACTTGCTGTTAGCAGACCAAAGCTTAACGAACCCACTACACCATCTGGGCTATCAAGAGATAGTTTAGAATAATAAAATAATTACCCCATGTGGCTCACGGTGATCTTGGGAGGCAAACTGCAGCTATGAAGTTCAGCTGCAGTGACTCCTTAACGAGATATGGATCCAAGGCACTGATCAGGGATAAAATGGCAGTCTTTGGGGTTTTTGTTTGTTTTCTCTGTGCCCCATTCCATTCCCATGCCTCCATACCGCAGCCTGGGCCCCTACACAGGCCTTGATACAGCATTCCAGGAGCAATGAAGTTGTCATTGTTTGAAACCATGTTTCCGCCTTTCTTGTATGAAACGATACACTCACTTGATCCAAGTAAAAACAATGTCAGTTATTGTCTCACTTACACAAGGCAGGTTTAGGTCAAAACTGGCAAGCAAAAGCCATTTTTCCAAGTATGGGTGGGAGAAGGCATTCAATATTTTGCTGGCTATGCATTTGTTTATCTGTGGGATTGTGGTCTTACATGTTAGCTTCTCTGGCACCCAACGCAGAGGCACTGTACATGCTTCCAGATAATGCTGCTGCCTGGGGGGATTTTTAACATGTACCCAATATTGACAGACATTAAAACCTGCATTACAAACACAACCACCAGTGCAGCTGAGGTATATTTCTGAGATGCAATTCCACCTCAGGAGCAAATAGATCTCTGCTCTCTGTTGATGGCTGCTCGGAATCCAGGGAGAAAACATCGGCAAGCCAATACAACTCTATTCCACATACAAAGGAAGTTCTTGTGAGCTCTGCGAGTCTACTAAATACGCCCAGACCTGGGCTTGATCGCAAGGCGAGATGTGGGCTTTGGGGAACACTGAGAGAGGGAATGGCATTCTGTTGACAATCCCCAAGGGACACAGTTCATGCACAGTGGCAGCTTCTTCCTGGGAGCCGATGGAAAAGGGTGGAAATGTGGGCAAAAGAAGATGACAATATAATATTGCCATGGACAATTTTCACAGAGCAAAAAGCCTAAAAGAAAATAGCTCTGCGATCTGCATCTTTGTTTGAGAACCTTATTTTGGTCATTTATGTTGCAAGCTAAGCTGAGCTAAACACTAAGATTCACCAGTCTACTCCAGGGTTCGCTCCTTGGTTTAGTTCCTGCTCAAAAAGCAGCATGGCAGAGGCAGCAGATCCAGGGAGAGGAGGAAAGAACAGGTGTGTGGCTGGTTTGCACCGTGCACAACGGCCTCTCGATGATACCAGGAGCTAAAGATGGGGCCGGCGACCAGCACGGAAGATTTGGAGGAAAGGGTGTACATAAGACTCCTAACCCAAAGGGGTACATGTGGGAAAGGATTTAAAATGCTCGTGGACTGCATGCTTTCTAGAACCAAGACTAGGATGATCCCGACATTACTGTCCTGAGATCATCTTTAAACCTTTAACCAAAAACATGCCATGAAGTTGTTTTAAAAACCCAACAGTGGCGTTTCACTAGTGCCCTCGGCCTTGAGCATTGTGCTCTCTGAAGAAGTATCTGTCGGGGATCAAACTGACAACAGCAACTGGAGAGGTTATAGAGACACCTTAGGAGGCAGTGGGTTTATGTTAACGAGGAAGGTGTAACTTAGAAAAGGGATGAGGATGGTTACACAACTTGAAAAATGTAATCAGTGCCCCTGGATTGCACATGTACAAACTGCTGAATTAATGTTATGTTCCACTGTATATATGAACAACCACCAAATAAATTACTGAAAAAAAAATTTTAAGTGAAAATAACCAACATAGTCTATGACAATGACTGCCATTGAGTTGATGTCATTGAACCAGGACCTATAGGACAGAGTGGAACTGGCCCTGTGGTTTTCTGATGCTGCAAATCTTTATGGAAGCAGCAAGTTGCACCTTTTTCTCTTAGGGTGACTGGTGGGTTTGAAGTGCTGACCTTTCAGTGACCAACCCAACTTGTCACCCATGAATTGATTCTACTCTCTGATACTCAGGCCACTGTGTGGGTGTCTCTGCTCTGGGTGGAGAAACACCAGACCTCAACACAGCACATTGTTCAGAGTCTGTTTTGAAATCAGATATAACTGATACATGAGCCAAATAATCATTATATTTTAGAGGTGTGACGAGATTTACGCTAATTTCACTACAGTGAACAAGTCCAGTCAGAAAGGAAAATGATTCCAGGCAAAGTGAGAAACCAATTTCTGAGATACTGATCACACTAAACTATTAATGTGAACCTTGTGTTGTTTAAAAATAACATAGAACAATTGCTCTAATGTTAGTACATGGATATAGTTTCCCCACCTCAGCATTCTGAGCAAGGGGCAAATAACATTTTAAACAAATATACTGTTTCTAGAGATACTACGAAAGCTGAGCGGTTTAGGAAGTAATTTAGTTATATAAGCGCATGTACCTTTAACTTTGAATTCGGATTAGGGCTCAGCTAATCCAACTTCCAAGGTCATGAAATGCCAAGATATGGGGTCGGCGTGTTAGCAAAAGTGCTTTGCTCCTTTTTCAACCCAGACAGGGGTTGGGGGTGGAACTGGCACAGTGGAGCTTACAAAACTATCTCTTGGTGAGAGGGAGCAGTTGGCAAACAAACATAAAAAGCACGTGGTATGTGTATAAAAATAGGGTAATACTGAAAATCAAACTGAATCCCCTGCCATGAAGTCAATTGCAACTCCTGGCAATCCTTTACGGCAGGCAGATCCGCCGCTGTGGGTTTCCCAGACTGTAATTGTTTATGGGATGAGGAAGCCTCATCTTCCTCTCATGGAGAGGCTGGTGGTTTCAAACTATTGACCTTAAGGTTAGCAGCCCAACTCATAAGGACTGTGCCACCAGGGCTGCAGATGGTAGTCCAGTCCAGTCGCTATGATTCCCATAGTCTCCATCACCTGCTCATTACAAACTGCAGCGGCTAATTCGCAGAGAGTTAAAGGAGAGTGATCCCTCCAGGTGCCTCTCAGCGGCACTCACAAACAGAACACCAGCCCAAAGACTGTAGGTCCAAGTCTATGCGACGGTCCCTCAAAAGAAAGGTTTGCTAATTCTGAAAACTCAGCCGCCTTCTACGCTGGAGCTCAGCTCCACTCTGAGGCACCCAGGGTGCTCGTGATTTGGGAGTCGACTCACTGGCAGCTGCTCTGGCTTTTATAACCTGAGAGAATGAGAAGTCACTCTTCGCTCCTGACTGGGCTTCAGAGGTGCCCAGCCTCCCTTCTCCAGGGGCTAAGCAAGCACCAGTGTCTAAGAGCCTGCAAGACGGGCCCCAGGACAAGCCAAGATGCACCGTGGTTGCTCTTCCTCCCCCTTTGGCCTGTAACCCAGTCGTCTGTGGCCCAGCTTCCCGCCCCGCGCCCCTTCTCACCTTGATGTGGGAGGCGTTAATGTAACCAGTGTTGTTTTCTTTGGTTGGTATCAGCTCCACCCGATTCTCCTCATAAGGGACAACCTCTCGGATCCGGTTGCGATCGGCGTTTTCTGGGAGAGCTGCTGTGCTGAAAATGCCATTAGCCTTTTTCTTTGGGATCTGCTCATATTCCGTGAACACCATGCCCTCTTCCAGCTTCTTCTTTAGGGTTCTGAACTGCAACAGGAGACCAAGCTTCAGCTCTCAGAAGGATCTGACCCGAATGTTGGCAATGAAACAGCCAGCTGCCTCTAAATAGTCATGGTGATATTTGTTAAGAAGCGCTTTCAAGATGTGCAGATCTTGAAAGTGATCCTTGATTACTTTAAAGTCTCTGTATTGCCCACCTTGCTCATTCCTCCCATCTGGGAACCATTTTCTGCCTCCCTAACAATGTACACAGAATAGCTCGGTGACAGAGAGATTGCCAATCTCAGTTATCCAAGCATCCTTTCCTCCCCTTGCCACAGCTGTAGTTTCTGAGATAAATTTTAAGATGGTTTATAGTTCTGAGAACCAGAAGCCCCGACTAATCGCCATAAATCAGCCACGTTTCATAGCCGTGGAGCAGATGGCGACGTATGAAAAACACTCCAGAAATGCTTGAGAAAAACAATTACCAGCTGCAGCAACACAGCTCCTAGAACTGGAGAGGGATGGCAATCACTGAAAGGCATTGACTTGACCAAGGTTGGTCTGCTTAGGGAAGTAGCACTTGGCTACCAACCAGAAGGCTGATGGTTCAAACCCACCTGCCATTCCAAGAGAGAACGACGTGGCAGTTTGGGTCCATAAAGTCTAACACCTTGGAAACCCCGTGGTGCAATGTGGTCTGATAGGGCTGCTATGAAGCCAAAATGACAGCAGTTGTTTATTTTGTTCTGATTGTTTCACATCACCGCACCAACTTGACAAAGCGGGACCCCTGGAGGGAAGCACTAGCTACTGAAAAGGATGGATCTGACACAGCCCGTGGAGGCCAGGTCTTTCTGAGCTCCAACTGCAGAGTCAATTCCTCGCACGAAGCTTAGAGCTGGCATGTTTGGGCGAGGAGGGCGCTTTGGAACCCTCTGCCCGCACAGTGAGTCACACGTGATACGGCCAGCACTTACCCTCTCATCTATGTGAACTCGGGTGGCGTCAGCCCGACTCTCGTCTCGCCCGGAGACCCGTGCCACGGAGAGTCCATTGAGCGCTGCCAACATCAGGGGCCTCTTCTGTGCCTCCAGGCCTGCCATCTTTTGCTTCTCCAGATTCTTGGGGCGAGAAAAGGCATGTTCTCATTACTTATGGTGCCAGTAGAATGTGGGAATGCGTTTTAATCTCCCCAAATCTGTAACCCCCTGATCAAGGAATGCAGACAATCACCATCCATAAAGCAAATTCAAATACTGCCTTCCAGTTACTCCCACTGTGCCTGCAGGAGCTGGCGGCGACAGGACTCATCGGCTTTGCTCACTCATAGGACTCATTAAAAAACAAAACAAAAATGGAATTAGTCAGACGTGGTAGGCAAATAAGGGCTGGAGGAAGACAGGCCAAAGAAAAGAGAAAGAGAACTGAATGAGTAATCTAATTCAGTTGTGCTGACGGTCCTTATGCTTTGACTAGATGTAACATTAGTTAAATAAAAAGAAACTCTTTGATTGACAGGGCTAGGTCAGTAAGTGGTAGGGAAAACCTTTCCAGGTCTCCATTGCAAGGGGCTAACACTGATGATGCCAAAGTCACATTTAATCTCTGGGTGTGGGTGAACTACTGAGCATTTTCCCCAGTAGGTGAGAAGATGTGGTTCAGTTACCTCATTACCACCAAAGACTGGCATCTTGTGAGATTCCCATCAAGCATCCCCTTCTGTGTGTCAGGCAGTGGGCTCACATGGTGCCCAATGACTAGGGGAGTGGAGAGGGAGGCACTGGGTGTGGCTCAGCTGTGGAAGACCGTGGCTTTGGGGGCTGAGCAGACCAGCTAAAGAAAGCTTTCAATGTTTCCAAGGCTAGTTTGTTGTGTTTCTTAAAAGCATTTCTGATCTCGATCCTTACCCAACTTACATTGCGTTCGAGTTAATAGTATCGCGTACAACCAACCCCCAACCATCCACAGGATGACATCCTTTCTTTAATGGGTGGTTGCACCTCTTTAGCACTACGCTGCAAACTACTTTTCTGATGTTACTATTCGCAGATATTCACTCAGAGATGCTCAATTCTATGGTTTACTGTTCCAAACACTTGGCAGATTTATAAAGATCTGATCATAAAAGGCAGTATAGTGAAAACTAAGAAAGCAAAAATCATATCACCCAAGGTGTTACACATCAGCATCAACTCGCAACAAGCGAGCCATCGGAGGAGAGCCCAGTGGAAGGGTCTGCACTGTACCCGCTCTCTGGGACAGGTCCACCACCAGGGCTCTGCTTGGTGGGGGATGCCTGCTGTACTTCCCGGATCCTCTACATCAGCAGGTCTCAACCTGAGGGTCGAGACCCCATTGGGGTCGAAGGACCCTTTCACATGGATCCTAAGACCATCAGAAAACACATATTTTCCATGGTCTTAGGAACCGAGACACTGCTCTTCTATCCGTTTCCAGGCGGGTCTGCCCACATACGAGTACCCAGCGTGAAGACAGTTACCCATGTTACACCATGCTTCAAGACAAAATTTCATTTGTTTGTCATTAGAAATATTTCACAATATATAATTACATATTGTTTTGTGATGAATCACTATGCTTTAATGATGTTCAATTTGTAACAGTGAAAATACATCCTGCATATCAGATATTTACATGACGATTCATAACAGTAGCAAAATTACAGTTATGAAGTAGCAACTAAAATAATTTTATGGTTGGGGGTCACCACAACCTGAGGAACTGTATCAAAGGGTCACAGCATGAGGAAGGTTGAGAACCACTGCTCTACACTGACTGAGCTGCGAAACACCTCAGCTCACTAACTCCTGCCAAGTCAATGCGAGTGGGTCCTAATTTTGCCTTAGAAGTTATGGGAGGGGCAGAGGGACTTCTTCACGAACCAGAGGAAGAGATGAGTTTGACAGAGTTTTAAGATCGTGGTCCAAGCTGGAAAGAAATGGATCTGCAAATGAATCTGCAGATTCATCTCTGCCTTGGCTTTTTTTCATGCCTTGAGATCACTGTCTCCTGCCATTTATCTGTGTCCTGAGGAGGGGGCTGTCTTGGTGGGGCCTGGTGCTTGGCGGACCACAGGCTTAGGGCTCATTCTAACCCATTGTGGAGGAGACGGCATTACAGCCACGCGCACATCTCCTCCCTTCCCAGGGGAGCGAGGCTGCCACGAGGAAGATGCTCCAGCCACGGAAGAAGCTCATTAGACACCAAAAAAGCACCGAAGTGTCCTGGGGCAAAAAGAGTGTCAGATTTTCCAAAAGGCCTTGGTTTCTCCATCCCTGTCATCTTCTGGGGAAAGGAGTAGACAGACGTGTTTGCATTTGTGGTTTGTTTTGTGTAGGGAGATCTTTTATCCCTGCCACCTCTTTTAGTTGTGATCTGCTTCACACACCCTTCAAAACTTCAAACAAGTATGAGTTTCTTCCCGGCAGTCTTTTTGTTTCTCCTCACCCACGTGCACTTACAGTGATGCTAACCGGACCTGAGACAAAGTATAAACAGCATGTCACCC